TTGGATTGGATGTTGTTGCAAACAATTGGGAATATTGTTTGGAGTTTATATCTCAATTTTGAGGGTATTTGGTAAAGATTAGACTTGATTTTGGCTGAATTTCAGATTGAAACTCGAAGAAGAAGAAGAAGAAGAAGAAGAAGAAGAAGAAGAAGAAGAAGAAGAAGAAGAAGAAGAAGAAGAAGAAGAAGAAGAAGAAGAAAACACGACATACAATATACTTACCAAATTGTATTAAAGTTATATTATAATTGTATGTTAATTGTATTTAAGTTGTATTCTCTTGTAGTTATATAATTTTTTATTTGAATGTTGCATGAAAGTTGAAAAATAGTTGTATAATGTATGAATCGTTGTATAAAATTTGTATTTAAGTTATAAATACTATCTTTTTACATAAAGTTGTTGATATGTATCAAAATTGTATTAAAAGAGGAAATTTTGTTTGAAATTTCAGAGAGGAAGAAGAACACACTACATACAAAATATATACAAATCTTTTATAAAATACATACAGAAGACATATTGCATAAAATTTGTATGAAAATTGTATTTAAGTTGTATGATGTTATAGATGTATTTAGTTGGGTAAAAATAATGTATGAAAGTTGTAAATAAGTTGTAAATAATTTGTATACTATATAATTAGTTGTATGAAATATATCTTTAGAATGTATGTTGTCGTAAATATATTAAATTTGTATTAAATTTATACGAAATTTATTTTTAAATTTGTATGTTGTTATATGATACATTATTCTTTTTTTATTCGATTTGTTAAAGAAAGAAAAGTAGAGAGTGAATTCCAAATTGACTCATGAGCACTGATTCATGATATACAAGTTTCAGCCTATAGACTTCAAATCTGATCGAATGGAAATTGTTCGTGGAAAGTATAGTCTGCAACAAAATAAAAGCTACTTCACCTCTTAATGTATGCAGTTTACTTAATTTCTATTTATTCCTCTGATAATTTTTTTGCTTGATCTACTTATAGATTTCTATACCTGGGATGATGGATATTGTCTCGAACCTTGGACTCAATGATGAAGTCGTTACTGGTTTGGCTGTCAAAAGTGGAGAAAGGTTCGCTTATCACTTGTATAGATAATTTCTTGAAATGTTTGGAGATGTGGTAAATATTCTCATCAATGTCTTTACCTGTTCTAATATTTCTTTCTTTTTTCAAGTTTTCCTACATTTCTTGAAAGGGGAACAAACTGTTGATTCAAAATCTATTAGTAGATTTTATCTCATATGGTTCTGGCGGTCCTCTATTTGATTGAATTTGGAAAGGAAAGTGCTTATTGAAAGAGGTGTGGAGAGAAAATAGGAAAATGATGTAACTAGATCTACTAATATAAGGCATTAATAATTAGTTGTATATAATTTATAAGTAATCCTTATTTAGGGCGGGTAATATACAAAATTAAGATAATTTTAGTAAATAAGTTTCAAATATTGTATAAGAACGAAAAAAATCTCAATATTATATAACATGTTTAGGACCCAAATTTCATAAACTATTTTTCTTTCTTAAATTTCATGACAAGATAAATTACAGAACGGGTAATATATTTCTCTCGTTTGGTATTAATTACCATCAGATCCATAAGGCCTTCAAGTCACAAAATCTATCAACTTCTCTTATCTACGTTGGAGACTCTTTTGTTTTTGTTATTGTTTCTTTTTCTTCTTTTTCGTTTATTTATTCTTATTTCAATTCTCATAAAGTTTTCTGACCTTAATGACAAGCGACAGAACAAAGCTTGTGATGAGTTGATGTGAGTTTGACTTTAATTAGCCGTAGGACATTAATGAAGGAACTAGCTCGAAACCCTAAATTATTCATATCCCATAGAGGGATGAAAACTCTTTTGTCATGGAATACATTTTTAGAGAAAAGGCATAAGTTGCCCCTTAAACTTGTCCGGCAAAGTCATTTACACATTTTAACTTTACGGGCGAACTCTGTTTTAAAAGGTGTGGGGCTAAAGTTTCAAGAGGCGTACGTCCGACAATTTGGAGCGTACGCCCCGCAATTTGGGGCATACGCCCGGGCGTTCGGGGCGTACGCCCAGACGTTCGAGGCGCGTTTTTTTTAGTAAGGAACAAGCTCAGAGACTTTTTTAAATTAAAATAAAATTTGTTGAATTAGTCCTTCATATAATACCCAAATTCTCAAAAGTCAGTTTGGTAATTACTCAAAAGATTTAAAAAGGAACTCAAAAGTATTAAATTTAAAAGTAAAGACCTTTTAAATTGATTTAAGCCCTAATTCATGATTTTTTCAAATTTTTATCTTGTCCGCTAGTCTGCTAATATCTCCCAAAAGCAATGAATATTTTTTTTTTACAAATACAAAGAGAACTACATTCTTCTTCATAGCAGCAAATTCAAAGTTCAAATTGCAGGTTAATCATCTTTTTTGTTTCTCCATATAGAAAATTTTATTCTTTTAGACTCAAATTACTTGTGCTTGCAAGTAACGTATAATAGATTGTTTTGATTAGTTTTTTGTGGGGATGGAGCACACATATATATAGTTTTCTTCAATTTTTATGCAATTTTACCTGTTTATAAATATTTATTGTCATTATATTATTTTATAAAATATTAAAAATTAAATACCTATGGGGCTTACGCCCCGCCGAGACATATGTAAAATGCCTCGCCTTACGCCCACGCCTTTTAAAACATTGCGGGCGACCCATCACCCCACTGTTCTTGTTTGAAGCAAATTTATTTACCGCCTAAAAGGTGACTTGGCAAAGAATGTGTCTTCACATTATATTCACGCGCGTGAAAGCAAGAAACTGTGAAAAACTAACTAATATGTACACGTGTCATGTTTCAATTGGGTGTTGTTAGCTAATTATACTTAATTATTATTTCTTAATAATTTTGCATATTTTATTTTTTCTTGTTCTTTACTCTCTTTTTTCTTTTTGTCCTTTTCTTCTTTTTTTGTTCTCCTTAATCTTAAGTTTTGTGGTCTTCAATGGTGAAACCACCATAATTGTCCGAACAAGATTTGGCCGGTGTTTGGCCGGAAAATTATTGTCACCACCCGACCTCTTTCACTCCCATTTTCATCATCTCCATCAACTAAAATTCCAAACTCCACCAACAACCTACATTCTCAATTCCATCATTGGACCTTTCGCTGCCAGTCTCCCTCATTTCCCTCAATACCCAAATTTCAAAAATTACTGCAACATTCAACCTAAAAAGACTTAGCTAAAATATGCCCTTCAGATCTGACATTTAATTCCAAAAACAACCTCCAAAGATTAATCATGGTATGGAACATGAGAAGCTATAAAGAACAATAACATGGCATTTTCCATTCTAATCATCAACATATGAACTTTTCTTATAAAATCAATAGGCTTGACAAATAGTTTACGGGTTCCTATTTAGATGTAGCTAATTTTCAAATTCTTTTATTAGTTTTTATATTATTTCGAGTAGTCTACATAAGGGGGACAAACGCCGGAAGGAAGAAAAGTGAAACAAATGGGGCGGAGTGAGGGGAAGGGTTTATTCTAGTGAAAAAAAATTAAAAAGGAAAAAAATGGTAATGACATGTGTCAGCGCGTGTAAAATACAGTTTCGATCGGATATGATTGTGACATATTAGGGAGTAAATAAATTCGCTTCAAACAAGAACATTGGGGTAATGGGTCGCTCTTAAAGTTAAAGTGTTTAAATGACTTTGCCGGATAAGTTTAAGGGAAACTTATGCCTTTTCTCTTTTTTAAAATTAGGCATGCATATCAAGATCATGGGTTTGGGTTGACTGAGACATTTTTAGTACACGATATGTTATATTAAATTTGAATACGTCAAAAGTATATGAAAACTGGAACAGTACTAGATTCGAACAAATTTACCTAAATATGATGTATCATAAATACTTCCTCGGTTTCAATTTTGTTTTGGCTATAGACAATTTGTTTAAAGAGCAAAGATTAACATATTGATCGAAATTTGCAGGCAATGTCAAGGGAGGCAAAACAATTTAACCTCGGAGAAGCTAAATATTATACAGTGATTGTATGGACTGCCATTATTTGGCAATGCTTCTTTGTGGGTGTTATTAGAGTCATTTATTGCTCTTTTTTTTTGAAGTCCGGAGTGATGATTGCAGTTTCAACTTCAAACTTAAAATATATAATTTGAAGCTTTAAAAACAAGTTTTAGAAGTTTTTCAAATTTTTTCAAGTTTTCAGTCACAAACTTCAACTAGGTTTTCAAATTTCAATCAAATCATGTCCAAACGCCTACATTTGCCCTTTTTGGGGCTAGCTATCTTTACTTGTGATATTGAGTTTTTTTAGCTTTTAAATTCTATAGTTCTATTTTCAGAAAAGGTTAATTAATTAGCATCTAAATTAACTTTAAAGATCGATTAGTTTTCTTTTACAATGTGCAGTGCCAAGACCAAACAAGAAAAAGGGAACCATAGAAACGAAAAATTGCATCAGTTGTCTCATTCTTTGTGCACTCATTATTTTAATAGCTAGGTTAAATCTAGAATAGACGTAAAGTTTATGATAAACTTTTTATGTTCCCCGTCACTTTCTTAATTAGTAGATAATACAGTTTTTATAAAGTCAAAATTGTAAGGAGAAGAAGTCCAAGATATATAACACTACCAATCAGCTCGGAAGTTAGTACTAAAAAAGATTACTATTTGTTATTCAATGTTTACCATCTCAATCGTCGTTGACAAACTAATGCATAAAATTAGATTAAGGAGTGAGGGAAAGTGCAGGTAGAGCACTATGCCTTGTTGTGCTTCCCATTACCAATTAAGAAGCTATACCAACAAACTAATTTTTTTTTATATAGTTCAATGAAAAAAAAAGGAAGGAGATATTCCTTCTAGAAATTACCAAATTAATAATATTTAATATTCTCCTGAGCTGTAATGATAATCACATCTTTGTGTTTATGTGCTTCCACAACCTTGGGTTGTCCAGAATTTGCGTTACAGAAAATAACAACCAAAATACCAAAAATAACTCTTTCCAAATTCATTAAACCGTCTCTCCATTCTTCACTTTCTTTCTCTACCTTCCTACTTATAAACTCTTGTCTTCACAAAAATCCATTAGTTTCTACTCCCTAACAATCGCCTATATATACTACTGCAGGCTATGGATCATAATCTTTGATATAAGGTGCCATTTCCTTTCTACTTATCTTTCTGTTCCCTCCCACTGATTTCTTTTGTTGAATGTTTGCTGTTTCCATGATAATATGATCTCAAGAATGTAGGATATAGTATTAAATCATGATTGTCCAGATGAACCTTTTATTAATTTTCTTTATTATGTATAATTTCTCTTGAAGTATTCCTTAAAGATTGTTCTTATGCGGTTGGTAGCTGTTTCTCGGTATATTATGAGCAACATATTTCTACAAAAAAGTTTTTGGTTGGCAGATATATTTCTTTCTTTTTTTTCTTGGTGGGGGAGGGGGATGGGAATTATATGGTTTAGGATAAGAAAAGAAAAGGGAATATTAATAAGAAAAGGGGAAAATTGAGGAGCACAAGATTGTTTTGGGGATCTAAGTTCATGAGAAGTTGATTGATAGTTCCAATTATTGTAGAAATTTGGCTAAGATTTTGAGTAGTGCATTTGTCATTTCATTGAATCTAATGATGACGGCAGATATTCTACCAGAGGGTCCACTGTCATTATTCATTTTTCAGTTTTCTTCAGTATATATCTCTCCTTTCTGTGTTTGATTTATGTGCATTTTTTTGTGTTAAGGGCTACTTAGTCTAAGCTACATAGTAAATTGGCTGGAAAGAGATGTGGAAATTATAGAACCATATACATTTTGTTAATCTGTGCACTATGTAGAGGTGTTTTTTTTTTGGTTGTATTCTCAAAGGTCAGAATAATTATAAGGAAACAATCTAATATTTCTGCATTAAATTGGAGAAATTCTCATTCTCTATGACGTTGATGATGATCTATTTGAATTTACCAGGCTTAGAAGGGCTACGAGATTAGTGGTGATTAGAACTTCAAGAGCATGAGGTAAAATATCAAATTTAAGCAAATGTTACAAAGGTGGCAATCAGTATATTTCAATGTCCAGTCTTAGGATTTCTAACAAGCAAAAAAGCTTATGAGTATGAAGAAGTACACCTAATAACATTGACACACAACAATAGGACATCAATCCAAGCTAGTAGAGTATTGTGAGAATTCATTATAAACAGACAAGTTTTATGCCGACTGACTGTCAACTTACAGCAAGCCTCCTTTATTCGTACTTGGGACAACAATATGAATAAACTTACACAGTAGAGTGAAAACAAAGAAAAATGTAATGCATGAGGGGCCTGTGTCGAAGAGTCCATTTTATGACTCTAACCTATTAAGTACTACTCTTTTGCAGCAAAATACAAGTTCAAAATCTTGTTAAGCCAAAGAATATAATGGCAACTCGGGCAAAGGACACTGCTCCACCAGGAAAGGAGAAGAGAGGGACATCTCCTTCACATCCAATTGCTCATCATCTGAGAAGTCCCAATTCATCAAATACAAACTCTCCGGTGCGGAAACGAGCAGATTCAACCACCTCAAACAAGAATGTTCCTAACTATCTCAAGCCTACAATGTCTTCATCCAATGACCCCAACATTCACAATAAGCCTACCCTAACTCGAATAAGATCGTTTGATAAGCCTCCTGTTGCTGCTTTGCAAAAAACTGCTAAAGAGAGAATTCTTCAGTCATCCTCATCGTTCTCGGGCAAGACTAGTTCAACTTCCCAAAAACCCCTTTCGGATAAATTATCTAGAGCATCTCATATGACTACCGGTAAACAACGTGGCACCAGCATGTATGCTAGACCAGGGACCATAAAGACTACAGCCACCGGCACCATCTCCAAGAAACAGGAGGCCAGCGGAACTAGTCATAATGACACACACAAATCAAGAAATGATCAAAATGGTCATAATGGTTCAACACCAAAAGATCCAATAACTAATTCTTCACATGCAGCTGAGGATGTTATTCCTCAGGCTGAAACTGGGCAAGATGACACGTCTAAATCGAGAAATGATCAGGAAGATCATAATGAATCAACACCTAAAGAATCAAAAATAACTGATTCTCCACATGCAACTGAGGAAGTTATTCCTCAAGCTGAACTATCAGAGCAAGAAGATGATCAAGAATTGCTGGTCACTGATACTGAAGGTGACGTGATCATTAACAACAGTGAAACTGCTGCTACTGATGCAGGAGAAAACAATTCAGCCATTGAAGATCAAGAAGAGCATAACGGAAATGAAAACAACGCTGAAATAGTTGTGGAAAACCAAGAAATCAGTAAGATGGAAGAACCAGAAGACGCACACCTAGTTGAAGAAACCAACACCAGCAACCCTAAAGAACCAGAAGCAATTACCAATGAACTTAATGAACTTCATCTTGAAGAGAACACAGTAAAAGCAGTGGATGAGAACCAACAAGAAAAAGAAGAGGATAAAGGAAGAAACCAAGGAAAGGAAGGTGAAGCAGTGCAGGAGACTAGTACTACTGTGGCATCATCAAAACCTCAACGTCAAGTGGTGCAAGGGAAGAAGGAATCTGTGGTCTCCAATGATGTGATAGAAGAGACTGCAAGTAAGCTTCGAGAGCAAAGAAAGAACAGAGTAAGAGCACTGGCTGGTGCCTTTGAAACTGTCATCTCCTTGCAGGAGCCCAAGTGAGTATTTCTGTTTTTGAGTATACATGTATTTATCGGTAGCTGTATGAACAAATCAGTATTATATCTTTTGTTCATATACCAACAAAAACAATGATAATGATAAAATCCATAGTAACAACAACATGAACAACAACAATAATATAATAATCAAATCATTTTATGTTTTTATCATGCATCTTGATTCTAATTAAAATCAACATGTGTTTCTGTTGGGAATTGATGCTTGCGACATAAAAATATATATATCATGTGCAGTTCAATCGTACACAGATTTCTGATCAATCTTCTGGAAATATTTCAATTTCAGGGTGTAAATTATAACTTTTGCTAGAACTGGACATGCTTGTGGAAAATCAAACATGCTGCTACAGTTTGGCTGATAGGGAATGCATCACCAAAATTGATTCATCTAAAATGGTTGGTCAGAAGGTTATTTCCATTAGGAAATTCTAGGAACATACAATTCTTTCACAAAGACAAAAGAAGAAATTGGAAAACGAAAAAAAAAGAAGAGCAAGAAAAAAATGAAAGAGATAGGATGTGTATGTGGTTTTATTTTTGTGTTGCTTTAGAGCTTTTCTCTGAACAGCTCTGTATAGAAGTACCAGTGGGAAAATATGCTGGTGGTTAGCGTATTAATTGAAGATTTGTACACATGTAATGTTTCCCTTTGAATTTGCCACAGTTCTGGTGGGTAGTGATATTTATTTTTAAAGGACTGTTGATGGTCAAAATGGTAATGAATCAGATCGAATGGTAACTCGAAATATCATTGAACGATTCTCAATTGTTATTAGAAACTAACATAATGGAGATTCTACTTCTCAACTATGAACTCCCAGTAGCGAAAGTGACATATTAAAAATTAGTGACAGAATTTGACTTAACAATAACTAACACTAGTCTAGTTTATGGTAAGAAAAGTTCTAAGAAAGCTTGGAATATATAAAAGTAATATGACATATATATAGAGGAACTGAAATGGAAATGATTGGATTGATAGTTGTTTTGATTGATTAGATGATTGGATGGTCCAACTTTACCTATTTACAGACTTAAAATTGATAGCTAAGCTTCACTAACTATTTTATAGTATTCATATTGTGCCAGCCATGCAATTCATACTGTCCACGTCCTTCTAACTTTTCTTCTCAAGTTTCTTCATTTGTGGATCATGGCTATATGTTGTACGGATAATTGTCAGTTTGATTGAACTTTATCTGATTTTTGTATCCCAAGACTTCGAGGATTAAACTTCTCAAAGGTAATAACTCACAAGGAGAATTTACCTTAAAAATATAAAGGAGGGAGGGGTGGGAGAGAAAGTGTCAAATAAGGGCTACATATACCAGCTTATGGCAACTGCCACAAAGCTGCTGTAATATATCCATTTCAGTGGACGACAAAGTAATTCAGAAGATGTGAAGAATTTTCATTTTGATCTAAAAAAAGATGCATCTTAATTTTAACATTTCAGGAAAGGCGACCGGTGGTAGAGACAGTACGAAACAATTATGATGGCTCACTCGATGATAAAGGACTTTACAACAACACCAAAGTATAATCCCACAAAGTGAGTTCTGGGGAGAATAGTGTGTATGCAGACCTTACCCCTACCTTGTGAGAGTAGAGATGTTGTTTCATAGGCTGTTTCAGATAGGCGACCAGATGGCTCACTCGATGATAAAGAACTTTGATAACCAGAAAAAGAAATGTCACAGACCGATTTTGCAAAGGAATTTGAATTACCAGGTTCCTCAACCAACTAGGTTGTGGTAAGTTCATGTACGTACCTCAACCAACCCAACTTTCCATTAGTTTGGTGGATTGACCAAAGCCATTACAACTTATGGAGAGACATGCCAAACATGAACCATTTGGCTATAATTAAGAGGATAAGCAGAATGGCAGAGTGGCAGCACAGAGTACCAAAAGATCATGACAGTAAATCAATAAGACTTCAGAAATAGCTGAAGATAAGACCAATGTTTGCATGGCCAAAATCACCAGGTTATAAAATCCAGGTGAACCGTATGCAAAAGGGTTCGGTAAAGGAATATGATCATTGTGTAGCTCATCATTAGCAAAACTATGTTCAATACCTTAGCAAAGATATACTGAAACTAAGACTACTTGTGTCAGTGTCACATTACCGGATGGCACTTGAAATTCATCATTTACAAAGTTTTAGCTTCTTGAAAAACGGAGATACCACAGATTTTGGATAAGGTTTTGTAGCAAGACAAGTTGGGATGTTTTCTGGTTGTTCAATCCACAGCTTATGAGCAATGCCCCCAGCTTTTAGCTTTTCTGCCAAGTTCAATATCTGGGCTTCACCCTTCGCTTCAAGAGTTACCTACATAGCCAAGAGAGAAAGTTGCAATAATATTTTGAATCTTTTATCTTTCCTAAATTTCTCTATACCCCAAGGACTAAACTAAGTTGGTACGCATTGATGTAGAACAGAAGTGGATGTCATTCTGAAAAATATATCCTGAACAAGGAAGTTGCTTACAAATAAGCTCATTGCATAATATAAGTTAACCACAAGTAAGCTAGAATTTAGAACCTCCATAGAAATGTCCAATGGCATTTATTGACCTCAATTTTCCAAAGCAGGCACCAGGAAACTTCCATATAAAATTCTGCATAATTCATGCTTCACCTACTAACCTAAGCAATCACTAATTCAGTTAAGGAGCTAAAAGAGCATCAATCTGGCTTTTGTTTTTCTCTAAGCACAATTTGCTCTTTTAACTTCCCACAACTGATAATTGAAACTATGATACACCTTAAGACAATATATCACAGAGGAGCTCCACCAGACCATCAACCACACAACCTGTAACAAGTGTAAAAGCAATTTTCACTTTGGTCTTTTCCTGACATAACACAACGCATCAATCAACCTTATCCATCCATTTCATTTGCTACCCATTCAACCAATGAAATTCTAGCCTCCTAGTATCTAAATTGAAAATCAAAAATTCATTCCTCACTACATCTAGAGGTGTGGCCTATTAGTCATTGAAGTGGGTAAGAAACTTGGAGACTAATTCTACCAAAGACAAGAAACTAGGTGATTTCTTCCCATTTTGTTTAAACCATGGTGGGTATAGTTACCTAGTACCTATGCTGGTGGAAGGCAGCAGGCACCCGGTGGAATAATCGAGACGTGTGCAAGCTGGCCTGGACACCACCGTTATCAACAAAAAGAAAAAAGATACATTCCTCACTGAGCACTTAAAAGATGCACTTTCACACTCAGTTATTACAGCCAACTATAATTATAATCATATACTACTAGTTTCGAATTCCACACCATCATATTATCATACAATAGCAGTTCAATAATTGCTAATTCAACTGCAATTACTAACTGAATTACAAAAATTAGATATCTTCCATTCCAAGTAATTATCAAAACATAACTCGTGGAAGATTAATATAGAATTCCTTTAGTGAAGATGAAACAGTGTAAAAATTACTGCTCGTTCAATCAGCATTTGTTATAGAGAGCTACCTGCAGTAACAGTTACATGACCTGATTGTAAAAATATTTTTTATACACATTCATCGTATAGCACTAATTGATCTGTTGAGTGGTGAATCTAAAAGAGAAATGACGAATCTTAGTAAATAAAACATCAACGGATGAGATGGACTTACCTTGTGCATTGAGTCGAGATTGGAAGGGCTACAATATTGAAGAGTAACGGCATCGTCCTTGTGGGACCAAATGGCGGCGACGGCGGCATGGCAGCCTTGCGTAACCACGCTTCCTAACGGCCACGTGTCAATTAAGTCTCTCCTTAGAACAACGTACTGAACCACTGTGTCGGAAACGGAGTTATCCTCTGCGCTATTGTTACCGGTTGTGGTTGTGTCGCCGCCGGCAGCGACGGCGCTGACGGTGGTGATTGCGCTGGAGTTGTTGGAAGGAGAAATGGATGTTGATTCCATTCTAGATGTTACGACACCGTTTAAGGGACGGAGATTAGTTGTGAAACTTAATTGAATCGCCGGAGCTAAGCTGGGAATAAAGGGCGTGACTTTGAGAGACGTAAAACGGGAGCAGAATGGAGCACCCATATCTGCTTTTCAAGCTTTATTTTTATTTTTATTTTTTTGCATTTTTTAATTAATATGCAACATAATTGTGCCAACTGTATTGTTGAGTTGTTTTTAGGAATAATATCTTTGTATTTACTTGAATTTTTTTGGTAATTAGGTCATTTTAAATTATTTTATAGCCTATGTGTGTGTGCAGTGGCGGAGCCACCTTATAGGGACGGTTGTCAAATGACACACATTCGCGGGAAAAATACGCTGTGTAGCTAGGTAAAAAATAAATTATATTTATATATACTATGTATTGATTCCCCTTAATTTTCTGATATATTTATTTTTATATATTTTGACACTCCTTAATGAAAAATTCTGGTCTGCCGGTATGTGCGTGATTAAACATGTTTTCATAAGCAAAAGGGGTTTCACTATTACATTTTTTATCTATTCATGCCTTTTAACGTTAGTAATTAGTCACTCCAGTATACAAATTTTTTGAAAAAAAAATATCCAAATCTACCCCTTAACTTTTGACTATGGTCTTTTGTATCAAAAATAAAAATAAAAGTTTTTTCTAATGGCCAGGTAATATTAAACCAAAAGCTAAGCTGAGGATAAAGTTGCTCAATTTCGGAGGTAAGCCAAAACACTTGTTTTAAATTAAATAAATCAGTTAAATCCTTACTAAGTAGGAGTATAAGGTGAAAAAATATTAATCAGGGTAAAAAAATATTTACCACTCAAACACTCATGCCCAATTTTATTAACCATTCGAGGCTGCAACAACTTGCAAGTGAGTAGATGTGACATTTTAGGAAGTAAAAAAGATAGCAAATACTGAAATTTGAAGGTGCAGTGAAGGAAAGAGTTAAGGGTAGGTGAAGCTAGTAAGGTTGCAGAAATTCGTTTATATATAGCCGTTTCTAGAACAGCTAAATAAGTTCATTGATATCGATTGATGATTAAGGACCTATTTTGCTTAGATTTTGAAACTATTTTCTAGTTATATATGCAATTATATTTAACAATCAAGGACTCATAAATAATATTGTTAAAAATATTACTACTCCTAATATTTAGCTGAAAATTTATTTTTGTCATACAGTAACCAAAAGTCTATTGGATTAAATCTATCTTTATGTATGATTTTGAAAAAGACTTGTTTTGGAATCTATTATTTGCTGTTTTAGTATCTTTTGCCGGACGATGAATTCAGAGAAAATATCGTTAAGAAACACACTCTTACCTTCTACTTATATACGTTTATGCAGATAGTACTACACTACATTGTGAATTTCTCTTGGGAGTCTCAACCAGCCATTTCTCATAGGTACATGATGTTGCCCCCTTTTTTATTTTATTTTCTTGTTTCAGTTTCCAAAATATAATTTTCCGACCATTTATTCCGATTCTACCAGCAACTGAACGAATCTTTAATTAATCTTGACCCCATTATTCTGTTTCTTTTTCAATCAAAGTTCTTCGGAAAAATTTCACACATGATGTCTCGGGTGAAAAGAACATAATAGGAGGTCAGTCACAACATTCTGACGGACTTATGAATATTATATTACGAAATTTATCAATGTGGACGAAATTTGTGACGGTTTTACTCTTTCGTCAAGAAGTATTTGCTATACTTCGTCAAACGTACTATCAGGGGCGGACCCGTATTTGCTATACTTCGTCAAACGTACTATCAGGGGCGGACCCACATATATCAAAGAGGGTTCAAATGAATCCGTTTTATCAAAAATATATAATGTATACATGTATGTATCATCTAATACCAGAACGATAAGGTTATTTCAATAATAATAAATCTGCTTGACACAACACATCTTTGTGGCTTGGTGGTCAAGCGGGTTCAAAGGCTATGGATGGTTCAGCGATCAAATTCTCATTGCAGCACTTGCTTTTTTTGTCTTTTGACTATGACTATTATTAATTATGTTTGTATGGCTCTTGTGACTATGACTATTGCTAATTATATTTGTATGGCTCTTGTGACTAATTAAGTTCACTTCAGATCAGCGTTAATTTATTCAGAGTAAGTTTAGCTTATAAGCTCTCTTCAATTATTTATATTAATTTAGTTTAGTTAATACTCTTTCTTTTGAATTTTTTTTTTGGGTAAATAACATCATTTCTACAAATGAGGAAAATATTTAAATAAGGTTATATGTTTTAGAGCTTAATATACTTTTAAATATGTTAAATAAAATTAGTTAACAAATGTTTAAATTTGTTAAAGCAAAATTTGTTCAAGTAAGTAGATAATTTATTCTAAAATTAAATTTTAAATAGAATTTGTAGTACTTTTATTAAAAAAACTTGCTCAACTGGTAAAGCTAAAAACGTCAACTTAAAAATGATGACTTCATTTGTTGTAGTGAATAAAAAAGAAAAAATATAGTTGAGCAAATCTCACTTGTTATATCATATCGTTCTTATTATTGGTGTCGTGTTTAATGAACCCGCTTGTATAAAATCCCGGGTCCGCCATTACGTACTAACATTATTAGTTAGGGTGGATTCAACTGAACTAATTACTTTCGACTTAAACTATATATATATATATATATATATATATATATATGTACATATGCAAAATAAAGAAATAACTAAATAAAATGTTTTCATATAATAAGATAACGTACTCATTCTAAACCACTTAAAGCTAAATTCTGAATATGTTTGTGCCGCTTTTCCATTGTTGCATTTGCTTTTCCTTTTATCACTTGTGTTAAAACTTTTTAAATTTAGCGTGAAGAATGGGGACTGAGGGTGATCAACATACAAAGTCAGAAGGAGGAGAAGTAGGAATAAGGAGAAGAGTATGTTCATGCACAAAAGACGATTTTCTGCCCGAGGAATCATTTAAAAGCTGGGGAAATTACGCGAATGCGCTGATACAAACACCAACAAGGCTAATAGATAGGATCCTGACACGTTCTGAAGATGGGGAAGAGTTACAAGCAAAGTCGCGGAGCCAGAACGAAATGAAGAAGACACTTACTTGGTGGGATTTGATATGGTTTGGAATGGGAGCTGTTATTGGAGCTGGAATATTTGTTCTCACAGGTCTTGAAGCTAATCAAGAAGCTGGCCCTGCTGTTGTTTTATCCTATGCTGTATCTGGGATCTCTGCAATGCTCTCTGTTTTTTGCTATACTGAGTTTGCTGTCGAGATTCCTGTTGCAGGTAAATGGATTGCTCTATATTATTTTGCAGTATCAGTGTAAAGAATTGTTACAGAATCAGTCGAAGACAGATTCAAGATTTAAATTTGACGGATTCAAGATGTAGGTTTTATGACAGAATCCGTTAGTACTTCTGAAATAATGTGTCCAATATTCAATTTGTCAAAATTTCAATGACTTTTTCATATATACTGATACTCCTTGTCGAAAATACTGAATTCAGTAAACTCATCAGGTATATACTCCATTCACCTCTGCAATCCGTGCATGTTAACCTGTCATAGCGGGTTACTTCTTTAGATAACTAATCCTTATCACAGGTTACCACTTACCAATTATCTCTTATGTAACATGTACTATTATTCTTTATATTGTCAGTGTTAATAGTTAACCTCTAAGTTAAATCCTTCTAAAATTTCTTCTTTAAGTATCAGTAACGAAGTCCAATAATGATGTTTTAGGTGGTTCATTTGCCTACTTGAGAGTGGAGTTAGGTGACTTTGTTGCCTTCATTGCTGCTGGTAATATACTTCTTGAATATGTGATTGCTGGTGCTGCAGTAGCTCGTACGTGGACTTCCTATTTTGCAACTCTACTAAACTTCAACTCCGACAGATTCCTCATCAAGGTGAATAGTTTAGCAGACGGATACAATGAGCTAGATCCTATTGCTGTTGGTGTTTGCCTCATCGTCTGTCTTATCGCAATTTATAGTACAAAAGGTTCATCTCGCCTCAACTATATCGCCACAATCATTCACATTTTCGTGATCTTTTTCATCATCATCTGTGGCCTAATAAAGTCAGATACCAAGAATTATACCCCTTTTGCACCATTTGGCGTTCGTGGGATATTCAAAGCTTCTGCAGTTTTGTTCTTTGCATATGTTGGTTTTGATGCTGTTTCCACTATGGCTGAGGAAACTAAAAATCCTGGCAGAGATATTCCAATTGGACTGATTGGTTCTATGGTGATCACAACTTTTTTGTACTGTTTACTAGCCATTACTTTGTGTCTCATGCAACCATATCAGAATATTGATATTCATGCTCCATTTTCTGTGGCGTTTAAATCTGTGGGATGGAATTGGGCACAATATATTGTGGCTGCGGGGGCATTGAAAGGAATGACATCAGTTTTGCTAGTTGGTGCTGTTGGTCAAGCTAGATATTTAACTCATATTTCAAGAACTCACATGATGCCTCCATGGTTTTCTCAAGTAAATGCCAAGACAGGTACACAGAGGCGAATCCGGAATTCAAAATTGAATCGGTTCAACTTTCTCTTCTCATTATTGAATCCGATGCACTTTCGCCATTATGGGTTTAGATTTTAATATTTGTTGAAATTTAGTGATTTTTTGGATCCGTCCCTACAGGTACACCAGTCAATGCCACGGCCGTCATGTCTTGTGCTACTGCAATCATTGCCTTATTTACGAAACTCGATATTCTCTCCAATCTCCTTTCAATCTCCACCCTCTTCATTTTCATGCTTGTGGCGCTTGCTCTCCTTGTTCGACGTTACTATGTGAGCGGAGAAACTACAAATGCAAATCGCAACAAGCTTATCGCGTTTCTCTTGATTATTCTCGGATCCTCCATTGCTACAGCTACTTATTGGGGACTAAGTAAACACGGATGGATTGGTTACTGCATTACTGTGCCAATTTGGTTATTAGCAACAATTGGACTTTGGTATTTTGTACCTCATGCTCGTAATCCAAAGCTATGGGGTGTACCACTTGTGCCATGGTTGCCATCAGCCTCTATTGCTATTAACATTTTCCTTTTAGGGTCAATTGATAAGAAATCATTCATAAGGTTTGGTGCTTGG